TACAATACCCCCAACACATAGTGTTGTAGGGTATAATTACATATAACCAGTAGGTTGAAAATAACAAGTAAAAACCACTAAAGAAAGTTCTAAAGTCGGGCGGGGCCGATTTTATAATACGCTACACCACTTTTCTAATTTAGTTGAGCTCCACATAACAATTAAAAGTTTTTATGGGAGAATTCAATCATACACCCTATGATTATAATTATAATTTAGAATTCAAAGGACTAAATATGCCGAAGCATTTGTATCTTTTAAATTCGGACTTGTATTGCCCATTTGGTGCAAAATTAATTTGAAATCAGGTAAATATATATATGGGAGCTATATCCAAATCTGAGCCGATCTCGATAAAATTTGGCAAAGATATTTCTCAGCTGTATTTGATATATTTCCCTGAATATCGTTGTTACCTAGTGCATATTACGGCTGGGGGTAACAAATATAGCAAATCGGATGAACAGTATATATGGGAGCTATAGGTATATCTGAACCGATCTTCACCAAATTTGACATACTAGGTTCTAGACTCAATTCGGTCGTATGTGCCAAATTCCATTTGGGCAGATATTAGACGTTTGGTGCACAATAAAAGGTAAATCGGACGAATTTATATATGGGAGCTATATCCAAATCTGAACCGATCTCGATAAAATTTAGCAAAGGTATTTCTGAGCTGCATTTGATATATTTCCCCAAATATTGTTGTTATAGAGTGTATATTACGGCGGCGGAGAAAAAAAAAATAACAAATCGTATGAACAATATATATGGGAGCTATAGCTATATCTGAACCGATTTCAAATTTGGCATACTTATTTTCAGGCCTAATTTGGTTGCATGTGCAAAATTCCATACTATTCCGGCTGATATTACACGTTTGGTGCACAATAAAATGCAAATCGGACGAAGAAATATATATGGGAACTATATCTATTTTTTTTACCGATTATCCCCAATTTCAATAGGGTTCGTCCTTGGGCCAAACAAATGTTGTTTGGAAAATTTCATCTCAATCGGATAATAAATGCGACCTGCATTTTGTTCACAAGAAAACATGGACAGACGGACGGACTGACATGCATAAATCAACTCAAGAAGTGATGTGGTGTAGCCCCTTATATACGAATAACTGTTCCTTCATAAGTAATTTTTGTCATAGGCTGTAGTACGCATTACGAATTTTGAAATTCAAATTCAATTGCGAAATTTGAAATAATTCTGGTTAATAATAGAACTATAATCATCAAAATACCGAATATATGGAGGTATCGTTATATGGGGGCTATATGGCTATGGCTATACGAATTTCCGATATGAAATTTGAAACAATTCCGGTGTTGATGATGTCGCTAAAATCATCATAATACGAACTATACGAAATATATAAATCCTGGACATGGACCTGCACACGTGATTTTTAGGCATAGGCTACAAAATTTTAAAAAATATCGTCCAAAATATTGCTGAAATCATCAAAACACCGACCATTGGGAGGTACCGTTATATTTGGGCTGTATGAAAACATGGTCCGACTTGGTCCATTTACGAACTTAACCTGCCTATTTGCAAAATACACAAGTGAACAAAAGTTTATCTTTTTATCTCAATTCGTTCCAACGATAGCGTGATTACAACAGACAGACGGACAGGCAGACAGATGGACATCGCTAAATCGACTTAGAATTTTACGCTGATCAAGAATATATACAATTTTGGACATCTTCAGGTTAATATTCCCCGGAATCCGTGAATTCTAGATATATACTGTATTCGGCAATATTGCAGATAAAAATTTGAGAAATAACAAATACTGGGAAAGAAATACAAAGGACACTTTTAGGTACTTTTTATACCCTACAACACTATGTGTGGGGGGTATTATAAGTTTGATTGGGCCAAAAATTATGTAACACCTCGAAATATTGGTTTCCCACATAGGAAAGTATATATGGATCTTCCTAGCTCGCCGAACTGAGTCGAACTAGCTATGTATGTCCGTCCGTCCGTCTGTCCATGTTAATTTGTAATCACTCTACAGGTAGCAATTATGGTCCAATCCTCACGAAATTGAAAATGGAGGTGGGGTTAGGGCCAGAATAGAACCCTATTGTTTTGAAATGGACCAAAAACTGAAAAATTTCCTGATTTTGCAGTTGCTCTACCGGTTGCAATTATAGACCAATCGAAGCGGGAGTTGGCACGGCGCTAAGTCTTGGGGCTGGGCAGAAGCTTTACAATTTTCATGGTCATTGGGTAATATTTAGTGGGTGAAAGATACCATAACATTTGTGATAAATAAAAGTAAAATTTTCGATTAAACCACGAATATGTTTAATCCCGACGAAATAAAAAATAGACGAACAGGTCAATTCTGACCGTTACATAGATGCCGATAGTAAATATGTCGGATATATATAGCGAAATATATAAAGTGTGTATATACAAAGGAAGGGGATGCTATCTAGAATGCTTATATCTCAAGAATGGCTGAACCGATTTTGACAAATGTTGTCAATTCAGAATGCCCTCTTGGCATAAAAGTGTAAAATCTAAAAAATCGCAAAAAAAGACGCCTATGATGATGCTAATATCGATTTTGTAGTATATTACGACATTTTTTTTATTTTTTATATTTTTTATCGCATACGATATTTTCAATTTGACTTATGATATTGAAGCGTATATTTTGTAATGTTTTTTCACCTTACAACACTGGTTGGGGATATTATATGCAGATTGCAATTATCCTCACGAAAAGGGTAGAGTTAGGCTCAGAAGGGCTAGGCCTATTGTTTTCAAAGATGTCCGCAATATATTTAAGGGTTGAAATGGACCAACAACTAAAAATGTTCCTGATTTTGCAGCCGTTATAAAGGTCATAATTAGAAACCAAAGGACACGAAATCTTGCATGAAGTTAGAGTTTAGGACAGCGAATGAACCACTATTTCTCTCTGAAAAATACCAACATTACTTACAGGGGATATTCGAAATACACAAAAGGCGAACTTCTGGCGAACTTTTTTATGCTGATTTCGCTGACTAATATAGCCAAATATCGTAGACATGAAAATCATATAGATGAGTCTAAATTGGGAGATACAGAGGGGCCTCTTGCTTTTGGAGATGATCGCAAAATACTAGGGGTTCAAATGAATCAAAAACAGAAAAAAATCCTGATCACATAATTGAAGCCATTCGACACGCCTGAGAAGAGCGTTAAGGACGGGGAAGAATTCTAGCATTTTGGATGACTATTGGATTATATTTAGGTGTAAAATGGATCACAACAACTAACAGCACGACGGAGTGCGTAAATATTGGGCAAATGTCCCTGGTCAAAATGCTGAGGGTAATATGGTTAAAAATTCCCTTGCATTATAAAATTGATATCGGATAAAGACATGTACAGGGTTGCCGATATTCGACGGACCTTTGGGCCCATTCCAATCGACGAGGCTTGTCCGCAGGCAACATTCTTTGCGTCAATTGAATTTTGTACGGGAACAAATGCAAATCAATGCGAATAATCCGTTGTAAAGTGAACCGAGCCATGCCCAACTGCTGAGAACGGCGTTTTTGGGATGTTATTGGGGACCCCTCAACACTGGGTCGTACGGCAGCGATATTCTCGGCCGATCGCCTTGGTCGACTTTTATATGGCCTTTCGGATTAGAAAGAGCCTTACCAGTCGAAAATGTTTCGTATAAACGCTTAATGGTGTTCTTAGAAGGCGCACTTCTCACATTTTTTTAATGTTTTAAAAGCACGTTGAGTTTTCACAATTGACTTCTTCTGTTGAATGTAAATTCCAACTATTTCAGAGGGCGTGTATTGGTTCATGATAAAAATCTGCTTGGACTGACGCTTCAAACGCGGTATGTCATTAAGCGATGTGACATCTCTGTCAAAAGTTATGGCGTTGCAAGATGGGTCCGTCGAATATATGCAACCCTGTATGGGAGCTATATCCTAATCTGATCCGATGATAGTCTGCTACCAAATATCATTCTCGTGGAGAGCATATTACGCGTGTGATGAAGCCCATCAAACCTCAAATCGGATGAAACATATATATATCTGAATCGATTTTCGAATTTGATGTACTTGCTTTTAGACTGATTTCGGACAGGTGTGCCAAAATTCAGGTCAGTTGGACTGATATTGGGCATTTAGTGCACAATTAACCCGAAATCGATATATATTCATCCATGTGCCAAAATGACCTACATAAATCGACTCAAAAGTGATTCTATGAAGATCCTCAAAAGTATCTATGGATCTAACTCGCTTCCTTCTCCATGTTACAAACAAATGCACATAGACATAGGATATAATTATACCACAATGTGGTGTCGGGTATAAAAAATTAAGGTGTACGTATTTAAAAAAAAATTTGAAAAATGCTTCTATCCGAATCCGATTATCATGTGTTATATAAGAATTCGTGGACCTCTATAGCCAATTTTATGCCAGCGAGGCATGTTCCAAAGTAAACTTTTGCCTACGGACATTGTGTGTCTGGTGGTCTGATCAAGCATGATGTAGTATACGAAAATTTTCTTGAGCAGTCATCGATCATTTTTTCTTCGATAATTAAACAAACCTTAGCTTTGATTTGGATGTTGGCGGTATCTTGATACATGACATAAAATATTGTAGACATTTTTTAACGCAACAAAAAAAAAAAAACTGATCTCTGAATTTGGCATGAATTCATACGTGTCATGGCAACTTCATTTATTTGGCCAACATGATTTAGCCATATACGATGACAGAAAATCGTGTAATCGATTGACTAATTGTGTTGCAAACACAACACAACATTCACAGAGATGTTGCAAATAAAGTTATTAGAATGTTTTTAAGTTGTTCGAAAATATTCGATTTATTTTTATAGACTGTTTGTTTGGTTGAATTTTTGTGTTTTTTTCGGTAATTGTTTAATTGTGTGTTCTTGCTGTTGTTATGGTTGTTGTTTTTACCCCCCTCTAGATCTCATTGTATTTAATGGATAATCGTTGTATTCGTCAGCATTTAATGTTTATGCCGAATGGTGTGAACGAATATTGGCGCTATTTTACGTATATGCTGCTACACTCGGACATACTGCATTTGACGATGAATATTTGTTTACAGGTAAGTAATTGGGATTGAGGGATGGTTTTATTATTATTTTGGTTTTTAGTTTATTAGGTCATGGTAAGAGAGAAACGAAAGAGCGATTTATGTGATACTGATTAATTGGGGCAGGAAGACTATCTCAAAAATAGTGGAATGGAAAACATTTTCAGGGTAATTTTAAAAAGTTAAAAAACAAGAAGGCATGAGGTATTCTAAGGATGTCGGAGGAATTGGAAAATAACTTTTTAAACGCAATTGAATATTTTTTATAAACTCAGTCAAATGGCTATAGAGGGTATATATATCATTTGATACGGCCGAAAAGTGCCACATCGAAATAAAGGACTTAGACCCTTGGTCTCTTTGGACCAAATCCGTTTCATGATATTTTTTTTAATAACCCAAGGTCTGGTGTGAAGGTGGAATGTATCGGTCTACTCCTTCTGGTACCTTCCCCACAAAGGATAAATTTTTTCAATATCCATAAAGTTCAGAAAACGAGAATTTAACATCCGATTCTATTGAGGCTTGGTACATCTCAATATTTCCATTAACAAAATATTTATACCCTACACCACAAGGTGGTCAGGGTATTATGTCTTTGTGCATTTGTTTGTAACAGGCAAAAGGAAACGAGATAGACCCATAGTTCCTTTTGATGATCTGCATAGAATCACATTCTGAGTCGATTTATGAATGTCCGTCCGTCCGTCTGTCCATGTATTTTTGTAAACAAAGTACAGTTCGCATTTATTGCCCGGCCCAGATGAAATTTTGCCCAAATCATTTGTTTGGCCCAAGGGCAAACCCTATTGAAATTGGAGATAATCGGTCAAAATTTAGATATAACTCCCATATATATCTTCGTCCGATTTACCTTTTATTGTGCACTAAACGTGTAATATCAGCCCGAATTGTATGGAATTTTGCATATACACCCAAATTAGGCCTGAAAATAAGTATGCCAAATTTGATCGAATGGGTTCAGATATAGCTATAGCTCCCATATATATTGTTCATCCGATTTGTTATTTTTGTCCTTCGCAGCCGTAATATGCAATCTGCAACAACAATATTTGGGTAAATATATCAAATACAGCTCAGAAATACATTTACCTAATTTTATCGAGATCGGATCAGATTTGGATATAGCTTCCATATATAACTTCGTTCGATTTGCCTTTTATAGTGCACCAAATGTGTAGTATTAGACCAAATGGGATGGAATTTGGCACGTACGACTGAATTTTGTCTAGAAGATAGTATGTACAATTTCGTGAAGATCGGTTCAGATATAGCTATATCTCCCATATATATAGTTCATCCGGTTTGTTATATTTGTTCTCTTCATATTTCACACATCCCATTATTTCTACTAACAAAAGATATGTTGTAAAGATGGGTCCACTCCTTCTGGTACCTCTCCCACAAAGGCAAAAAATATCTATGAAGCTCATAAAAAGCGAAATCAATATTTCCATCAACACAAGATCTGTTATAAAGATGGTAGAGATCGGACCATTTCTTTTGCTACCTTCCTCGCAAAGGGACAAAGTTTTGAATAACCAAAGCGATTATAAAAACCGAAATAAGCATCCGGTTCTCTTCATATTTCACACATCTCATTATTTCTACTAACACAAGATCTGCTGTGAAGATGAGATATATCGGTCCCCTCCTTCTAGTAAGGGTGCTATACTAAAATGTAGACAATTCTCTTCTGGGGGGTTAAGTACTCAGAGGGAACTCCTTGTGTGGATTTTCAGACTACTCCATTGAAAATTGTGGCTAAAATCATCAAAATACCGAATGTCGGCAGTAACAGTTATATGGGAGATACAAGATATTGTGGACCTATATAGACAATTCTCTTTCAGGAGCTAAAGTTCTCTGTGAGTACCTATGTAGAATTTCAGGCAATGCCATTGAAAAATGTAATTGATATCATCAAAATGCCGAATGTAGGGAGGTACCACTATATGGGGGATATACGATATCGTTGACCTATATAGACAATTCTCTTTCAGAGGCTTAAGCTCTCAAAAGGAAATCCTTGTGTGGATTTTAAACCAATTCCATTGAAAAATGTGGCTAAAATTATTAAAATGCCAAAGGAAAGGGGGCTCACCATTGTATGTGGGCTGTACGATATCGTGGGCCTATATAGGCAATTCTCTTTCAGGGGGTTAAGTAGTCAGAAGGATCTCCTGCCATTGAAAAATGTGGGCGAAATCATCAAACTACGGTACTATATCGTGGACTGATATAGCCCATCTTCGAACTTAACCTGTCCGCAGACAAAAGACAGATCGGTGCAAAATTTTAGCCTCCTATCTTTATTCGTTTTGACTCTAGCGTGATAACAACAGACGGGCAGACGGACAGGGCTAGACCGTCTTGGAATTTTATGCTGATCACTTTGGGTCTAAAATTATTATTTCGATGAGTTACAAACGGTATGACGAACTTAATATACTCTCCATACAATGTATTGTGGAGGGTATACAAATGGAACACTTCGGTCGACTATATCTGGTACCTCAGGCACATTTTGTTATCACATATCTCATAAAAAGTGAAAGATGTAACCAATATAGTCCAAACCTGGCACGTTGCAATATTTATATAATATTTTTTTTAGGTCCCCTTCGAAATGGACTATTTTGGCCCATTCCTTCAGAACCTACTCCACAGAGGGTCAAACATTTGAATAATCATAACAGAAGTCAAAATATACTTGAGTAATTGATCATTGGCTGAGGGTATACATCTGTCGGCAAAACCGACTGATGCTTTTTAAATTGTTTTTTTTTTTGTCCACATTAAAGCAAATCTGAAAATGTTTTAAATACCCCATGGAAATGAAGCACATCTCTAATAACATCTATCCTTATTGGGAATTTATATACATTATTGAATCAATTAAAAATGATCGCAATAATAACATAAATCAAAACGATTTTTTCAATCCATTTTCGTAACCTAATTTTGTAATAAACATAAATATTTATACCCTACAACACTATGTGTTGGGGGTATTATAAGTTTGATTGGGCCAAAAATTATGTAACACCTCGAAATATTGATTTCCCACATAGGAAAGTATATATGGATCTTCCTATCTCGCCGAGTTGAGTCGATCTAGCTATGTATGTCCGTCCGTCCGTCCGTCTGTCCGTCTGTCCATGTTAATTTGTAATCACTCTACAGGTCGCAATTATGGCCCGATCTTCACGAAATTTAGAATGGAGGTGGGGCTAGGGTCAGAATAGAACCCTATTTCTTTTGGAGATGATCGCATAATATTTAGGGGTCGAAATGGACCAAAACCTGAAAAAATGTCGGATTTTGCAGTAGCTATACAGGTCGCAATTATAGACCCATCGACGCGGAACTTCGCGTGTAGCTAGAGTTTAGGGCGGGGAAGAAGCCTACCAATTTGGCTGGTCATCGGATAATATTTAGCGGGTAAAATAGACCATATATTTTGTGTTGAAAAAATTCAAAATTTTTCATTAAACCGCGAATATTTTAAATCTCGGCGAATTCACAAAGCCATGACAAGGTTACTTCTGATCTTTACATTGATGTTAACATCCAACAAATCGGATATATAGCAAAATATGTGCGATATATATGTCTATCAAAGAAGATATGCTTGAAAGATCTCTTATTAGTCGAGAACGGCTGAACTGATTTCGACAGTTCTCATTAATTCAGAATGGCCACTTGGCAGGAAAGAAAAAACGTCTAAAAAATCGCATAAAAATATCTCTCTAAAGATGAAAATATTGGTTTTGTAACATTTTCTCATATTTTTTCAATTTTGTCATATATTTGGCATATTTTCATTTTGAATTAAACATTTGGTAATATTTCTACAGCTAACAAAACTAAGTAGTTAGGATATCAGGATATCATATACAGATCGCATTTATGGCCCGATCCTTACGAAATTTTGCATGGGGATAAGATGAGGGTCAGAATAGATGCCTACTCTTTTTGGAGATTATCGCTATATATTTAGGGGTTGAAATGGACCAAAAAACTGCAAAATTGTCAGCAGGTCATAATTATCGCCCGGTCCTCACGCACAATTGAATGGGCGTTACCGCACATTGCAAAAGCCAAGCAGTTTCGGATGACCATCCAAAAATATTCAATGTGTGAAATAGTTTGCAAACTTTTGTAGACTAAATACGAAAATGTCCATTCCAGTGACTTTTTGGAGAATTCGCAAATACAGGAAAGACGCACCTCTGACTATTTCGTTAACGCTGATTTCGTTGAAGAATATAGTCAAATGTCTGTATCTCATATAGATGCGTTTCAGTCAAAAACCAATAATAATAAATGTTAATCTTTTACCACTTCTGAGAGATTATAGGTCTTTGGGAAATATTGGTTCCAGATCTAGGAAGACCATTTACGTGCAACATCTACTTATAAATTGGAAATGAGCAAATTTGTTATTATTCGAAAATTAGAGAACGAAACCTGATGGCTTTCTTTTATTATTTGTCACAATATCTTGTGGAATTCTTTCGAGTATCTCGCCTATATAAACTGTATCATTTATTATAGTGTTGTAGGGAATTCAACGGTCGGCCCCGCTCGACTGTAGCCTTTGCTTACTTGTTTTTTTTTTTTTTAAATGTGTAAATTAATAATCAATAATTTCCTATATGTCCGTACACACGTATATTTTCAGCTTGTTATAGCCTTTTGTTTGGAAAGCGAACAAAGCCACTGGAAAGTAGCAACAATTTATATAAGTGGCGGAATTTCTGGTTCATTGGCCACACGTTATTTGCAGCCAGAATTGTCGCTGATGGGAGCCTCGGCCGGTGTATATGCTCTGTTGATGAGCCATATTCCGCATCTTTTGAAGGTCAGTGAAGCGTAAACTTTCTCGCAGCAGCACAGTAGCTAGCTACCCAATAATGGACGATTGGTTACAAAAAAAAGACGCATATCAATAAACGTGCCCATCGTTAATGTGTAAATATACGACGATGATGATGGAGATGATGACGATGAACGTTTATTTTTATGAGAGTCTGTTTTTCATCCATTGTTGCAGAGTGCCAATATCGATTGGTGGGGAGAGGGTGTATTGTAAAAATATTTATTTTTATTTCGTTCTGTTTTTCTTTTCGTTGCAGAATTTTCCCTCACTTGCCCATCGATATTTGCGCATCATGGCATTAATGATTTTATTCCTGAGCGACATCTGTTTTACGACATTCCACATAGTCATCAATCAAAATACGAATCCACGCATTTGTGTCGAAGCCCATGTGGCAGGTGCTCTGTTCGGTCTGATTTTTGGATTCTTCATATATTAATCCATATCAAAGGCCAGTAGTAATGTGATGAAAAGGGAGCTGGAGCAGCCATCGTGTCTCTTGGTTGCATGCAACAGTTGAATGTAAACGCACTCATACACACCTTTTGTAATACAAACGTAATAATAACAACAACAACGAACGATGTAACCAGAGTTGCCGCTGAAAATGGAATTAATGAAATTGGGCAAAATGAAAATATACCAGAATAATAATATTGGACATGAACAAAATTGAGTCTGGTCCAAATCAGAATAGGAGGTTCAAACAAATCCTCTAATTGGAAACATAAAGTGGCTGACTGTACCCAAATAAAAGAGTGGTTTATTTTCAGGATTCATAAAATCAAAATAGCAATCATACCAAGTCAAATTTAGTAATAATTCAGGGGACTGCTTTTCGTGCATTGATCTTAATCGAGCCTCCACAAAGTCATATGTATTGATATAGCTACTCGGAATTAAAGTATAAAGAATTTTGAAGTTGAAGTTGTCAACCACCAGAGTAAGAAGAACTGCTTTCAACAACAATTACTCTTCCCAGTCCATGTATTATCCAAGGAAAAATATAGGGTTTGGAGATCTGCAAATAATCACCAGTCATTGAGACATATATTTTTCAGTTCCTAGTCTATGGAAATTCAAATCAAAATTGTAAAATATATATATTTATAATAATAAAACTCTTTTATTTCTGTATCCTACAACACTATGTGATGGAGGTATTACAGGGTTGTCCATATTCGACGGACCCATCTGGCAACGCCATAACATTTGACAGAGATGTCACATCGCTTAACGACATTCCGCGTTTGAAGCGTCAGTCCAAGCAGATTTTTACCATGAACCAATACACGCCACGCGAGCGCTCTGAAATAGTTGAAATTTACAAGAAGTCAATTGTGAAAAAAATGTGAGAAGTGCGCCCTCTTAGAACACCATTAAGCGTTTATACGAAAAATTTTCGACTGGTAAGGCTCTTTCTAATCCGAAGAGGCCATATAAAAGTCGACCAAGGCGATCGGCGAGAATATCGCTGACGTACGAGCCAGTGTTGAGAGGTCCCCAAGAACATCCCAAAAACGCCGTTCTCAGCAGTTGGGCATGGCTCGGTCCACTTTACAACGGATTATTCGCATTGATTTGCATTTGTTCCCGTACAAAATTCAATTGACGCAAAGAATGTTGCCTGCGGACAAGCCTCGTCGATTGGAATGGGGCCCAAAGGTCCGTCGAATATGGGCAACCCTGTATAAGTTTGATTGGGTCAAAAATATGTAAAACCTCCAAATATTTGTCCTACACATAGGAATGTATTTATGGATATTTCTATCTCGCCGAGCTGGGTCGATCTAGCTATGTATGTCCGTCCGTCTGTACATGTTCATTTGTGATTACGCGAAATTTAGCATGGAGGTAGGGTTTGGGTAAGTTCCTATTGTTGGAGGAGATGATCGGGAAAAATTTATAGGTTGAAGTGGACCAAAATAGAAAATTTTCTTGATTTTGCAGTTGCTCAACAGGTCGCAATAGGAGGTCGAACGGCGCGTAATTAATGATTTGAGCTAGATGGGCTTGGCAGATACCTACCACTTTGTTGGATCATCGGACAGTACAGGGTGAGATAAAAATACTTCAATACTTCAAAACTGCTGTCATTTCTAAGTCACTCGTCCGACAGCTGTTAAAATTATTCCAGTGACAGCTCATTATATTGTTTACAAGCGCACAAAAGCATTTTGGTGAGAATTTTCCAGATAAAATGTTATTCGAGATGGAATTCAAGCGTCATAGTGTGATTTCTTTACATTTGGCTGGAAAACCACAAGTGGCTATCGTTAAGGCACTCCATCATTTAAGTGTGAATATATCTTTTGTGTCTCGTATCATCGCTCCTTACCGTGATACTCGTAGCGTAACCCGAGGTCATGAAAGTGGACGGAAAAAAACATCAACATCAGCGGAAATGGTTCGAAAAGTAGAGAAGAAACTTTATCGTAAACCGCGTCGCAGTGGCCGAAAAAATGGCTCGTGAGCTGAACATATGGCAATATTCGATTTGGCAAATATTGAAAAATGATCTCGGTGTAAAGCCATTGAAATTCCAAAAAGTGCAAGAACTTACAACGCCACAGAAAGAAAATAGACTCAAAAGAGTTAAAGAGTTGCTTCGCTTGGCCGAAAGTGGTGAACTACCGAATTTGGTATTCTCCGATGAGAAAACATTCGTTGTCCAGCAGTTTGTAAACAAACAAAGTGATCGTGTTTACTTGCCAAAGAGATCAGCTAAAAATGTGCCCCTTTAGTTGGTCACCAGAACTCAATTGCCGGCCATGGTGATGGTGTGGGCCGCCATAACAGCCGATGGTCGCTCTCCGCTCGTATTAATCGACCGTGGCATCAGAATAAATGTCGAATATTATCGCGAAAATATTCTGCAGGGTGTATTAAAGCCTTGGGCACACAAACATTTTGGCCGCTTACCTTGGAATAGTTACAAAATGAGGTTCCTTGCTTCATTTCCAGCGCACAATGGCCACCAAAATCTCCGGATACAAATCCGTTGGACTATTGTGTCTGGAGTATTTTGGAAATCAAGGTTTGCACTAAAAATGCCAAAGTGTCGATCACCTCAAGCAAGCGCTGCGCCGGGTATGTACCAAAAAACCGCAGAGCAACATTCGGGCAGCGTGTGTCAGTTTCATTGGCCGTTTGAAGGCCATAATTCGTTCCAAAGGTGACCAATTCGAACAAATCTAATCTTATACCAAAATTTGATGCTATATCCGACATTTTTTGCTTTCATTCAATAAAATTAAAAAAAAAACAAGTAAGCAAAGGCTATAGTCGTGCGGGGCCGACCATGTTATACCCTACAACACTACAATATGTTAGAAGCCGCCTTATGTCCAAATCCATTTTGGAAGATTTCGCTTTTGAAATTATGGCACGGAGCACTGCCCAGATATTACCCATAGCATTTTGACCAGGGATATTTGCCCAATATTTACGCCCTTCGTCTGGTCATCCAAAATGATAGACTTCTTCCCTCTTCTCTCTCAGGCAAAATTCCGTGTCGATTTGTTTCAATTGTGTGATGAGGTACATTTTTCGGGTTTTTGGTTAATTTGAATCCCTAAATATTTTGCTACCATCTCCAAATGCAATAGGTTCCACTGAATTGCCAAATTTAGACTAATCTTCTCAACCAGAAGTTCGCATTTTTTTTTTATTTCGCTGTTAGCCATTTTCAGCGTTTAGGTAGAAAGGAAATGTTGGTATTTTTTCACACAGAAGTAGTGGTCCATTCAACCTGCTGTTCTAAACAACAACTTCATGCGAGATATCGTGTACTGTGTACTTTGGTTTCTATTTGTGACCTTTATAACGGCTTCAAAATCAGAAAATTTTTAGTTGTTGGTCCATTTCAACCCAACAACAGGCCTAGCCCTTCTGAACCTAACCCTACCCTAATGAAAATTTTCGTGTGGATCGGACGATAATTGCAATCTGCATATAATAACCCCAACCTGTGTTGCAAGCTGAAAAATATAACAAAATATACACTTCAATATTATAAGTCAAATTGAAAAAATCGCATGCGATAAAAAAGGAAAAATAAAACAAGTAATAAGGCAGTAAATTCGGCCGGGCCGAACTTTGAATACCCTCCACCATTTGGAACGAATTAGAAAATTTTCAAAAAAAATAAATCCAATAAAAATTCTTTTAAAATCTTTAAAATATCTAATATAGGAAGGTCTATGTCTACGTGTAAAGTACTCACAAGGAACTCCTTGTATGGATTTTCAGATAATTCCATTGGAAAAAGTGGCTAAAATCATAAAAATACCGAATATAGGGGAGTACCGTTATATGGGGGCTATACGATATTGTGGACCTAATATTGGGTCTAAAATGATTATTTCGATGAGTTACAAACGGAATGACGAACTTAATATACCCTCCATACCTTTTTTGGTGGAGGGTATAAAAATGTCAGAAAATACTACAAAATCTACATTTACACCATTATTGGCATATTTTATTCGATTTTCTTAGTTTTTTTTCTTTTGTTTTTGTCGAAATCTGTCCAGCCACTCTTGAGATATAAGCATTCTAGCTAACATCCCCTTCCTTTGTATATATACATTGTATATATTTCGCTATATATAACCGATATATTTACTATCGGCATCTACGAAACGGTCAGAATTGACCTGTTCGTCTATTTGGGATTTCGCCGGGATTAAAAATATTCGCGGTTTAATGGAAAATTTGACTTTTATTCAACAGAAATGTTATGGTCTATTTCACCCACCAAATCTTACCCAGCCTGAAGCTCTAACCCTATGCTAACTTCCGCTTCGATTGCTCCATAATTGCGTCCTGTAGAGCAACTGCAAATCAGGTTCTATACTGGCTCTAGCCGGACCTCCATTCTAAATTTCGTGAAGATCGGGCCATAATTGCGACCTGTAGAGTGATTACAAATTAACATGGACAGACGGACGGACGGACATACATAGCTAGATCAACTCAGCTCGGCGAGATAGGAAGTTCCATATATACTTTCCTATATGGGAAACCAATATTTCGAGGTGTTACATAATTTTTGGCCCAATCAAACTTATAATACCCCCAACACATAGTGTTGTTGGGTATAAAAACAAGTAAAACAAGTAAGCAAAGGCTACAGTCGAGTGGGGCCGACCGTTGAATACCCTACAACACTATAATAAACCATACAGTTTATATAGGCGAGATACTCGAAAGAACTCCACAAGATATTGTGACAAATAATAAAAGAAAACCATCAGCTTTCGTTCTCTAATTTTCGGATAATAGCAACTTAAACGAATTTGCTCATTTACAATTTATTGGTAGATGTCGCTGGAATAGACATTTTCGTATTTAGTCTACAAAAGTTGGCAAACTATTGCACACATTGAATATTTTTGGATGGCCATGCGAAACTGCTTGGCCTTTGCAATGTGCGGTAACCCCCATTCAAATGTGTGTGAGGATCGGGCGATAATTACGACCTGCTGGCAATTTGGCAGTTTTTTGGTCCATTTCAACCCCTAAATATATAGCGATCATCTCCAAAAAGAGTAGGCTTCTATTCTGACCCTCATCTTATCTCCATGCAAAATTTCGTAAGGATCGGGCCATAAATGCGATCTGTATATGATATCCTGATATCGTAACTACTTAGTTTTGTTAGCTGTAGAAATATTACCAAATGTTTAATTCAAAATGAAAATATGCCAAAAATATGACAAAATTGAAAAAATATGAGAAAATTTTACAAAATCAATATTATCATCTTTAGAGAGATATTTTTATACGATTTTTTCAGACGTTTTTTTCCTGCCAAGAGGCCATTCTGAATTAATGAGAACTTTCGAAATCAGTTCAGCCGTTCTCGACATATAAGAGATTTTTCAAGCATATCTTCTTTGATAAACATAAATGTCGCACATATTTTGCTATATATCCGTTTTGTTGGATGTTAACATCAATGTAAAGGTCAGAAGTAACCTTATGATGGCTTTGTGATTTCGCCGGGATTTAAAATATTCACGGTTTAATGAAAAATTTTGAATTTTTTCAACACAAAAGATATGGTCTATTTTACCCGCTAAATATTATCCGGTGACCACCCAAATAGGAAGGCTTCTTCCCT